GTTCCCATCTCTGTTTGCTTCTAGATGAGGACACTGGGAATGCTTCTCCAGCAGCTTGGATGGAAGATGCTTTGGGTCCCTCGGGGTCTCCTGCAGGTAATTCTCAATGTGTGCTCAAAGAATAATAATTGACAACATGGCAAGAGCCAGGTGACAGAATCTTCTCTGACTGTTGAGTTACAGGGGTGTCTTCAGGGAGGAGTTTTCCAGCTCCTTTGCTTATTCCTCTGCACAAGCCCAGCTCACATGGCAGGGGTGAGTAGTCTGTCTCTGCTGACCTCACAGGCTGAGCTCTTGATTTTCTCTAATCCATTCATGTCAAATGGAACTGCTTCCCATTCAGGTCCTCCGAGAGGCAGGAATCAACCTCCAGGAGACAAACCATCTCAGAAGGCACGGGATCTTCTGGACCAAATGCTGAATGAACTGGAGAGACGGAGAGGTGGGTCTGTTTCCTCATCCTGAGCCATGAGACTCAACAGCTGAGGGCTTTAGATCCACGTGTGGACAGGCAGTGGCTGCACAGCGGGAAGGGATCCATCGCTGCCCCGCTGCTGCTTTCCTGCCTTGCGGGGCTGTTTCCCCACCTGGCCTGGCTGCAGCTTCTCCCCGGCCTCTGCAGGAAGGCCTTGAGCATCCCCTGACGCTGTGCCCCAAATGCACCACGGGCCCTGCAGACCAGGAGATCCCCTGCAATTGCCTGGTCTGGTCTCCCGGCAGCTCTGGTGTGGCGCCTGTTTGGAGGAGGGAGTGCCCTGACCCAGCCCCAAAAGCCTGGGTGTTTCCCTGGACCTTTCCCATGTCTTTTATAAGCATTGCCTCCTGAAGATGCCACTTCCCTGGCAGGGAACAGTTCCATCCAAGACAGTTAAACCATTCCAATCAAAGACAATTCAGGAAGTGTCCTGAAACCTTCTCTGCCTATCAAAAAGATAATAAGAGGACTGAAAATGTGGACTAATTACCATGACAAGCGAGAAATCAATAACCAATAGAAGATAGAATACTAATAATAGAAAGATTTATGTAATTTATAGCCTATGAACATTAATTTCTTTGTTTGCTAAAATCTATTAATAGTGAAATATTTCAAAAGTGCCTGTGTGTTTTTGGGGTAGTGACCCCATGTGCATCCAGAACTGTAATAGAGTAATATCTGCTTTCTAATATTAAAGATATTGTTAGAGACTTTGATTTATCCTGAGGTTTTTGGAAACAGCTGTGATGGCTGTCCTTTCTGGGGAAAAGGCAGATGGTGAGAACAAGACTCCACGTGTCTCCTGAGAGAGCCTTACTTGGGCTGTGAGACCTCTCCTGGGGCAGCAAGGGATGGTTGTGGCACTGCCTGCTGCAGTTTCCCCCAGGCCTTTAGCCAGGGATTCCTGTGGTCAGGAGAGAGCCCCCGAGAGGCCCTTGGCTGCTCCAGCCGCTCCCCCAGGGATGTTGCACAGGGCCTGGAACGAGTGTGCAGAG